AAGCAAGAAGAGAGAAATAAAGAACTGTCAGGGGTTCCCTTTGTTGTGAAAGTTACTCGCCTCCATTTATTCACTCTTTTCTTTCGTCACTTGTCGTTGACAGGGGAAGGAAGTAGGAAGCTCGCGGGAAAAGCCGGATTTTCCGAGACATCCTCTTCACGTGACAAACGTGATATCCCAAAATGTCCTTGGTACGATATTGTTGCGGAAATGCTTCAAAGATCTCACGAGTACGCAATATGTAATGGATGAACTCGGCGCATTGTACGTATCATATCGTACAAAATGCAGGAGATACGCTATGAAAGATGAATATGCCATGTTTGCACTTTCGCTTTTACGGTTACGGAATACTTTTATCGCACTTTATATTTCATCATACTTTATTCCACGATTCAAGCGGATAAAAATATACAATGGGGTATTTTAATGTATTGATTACATTAAGAAAAATATCTTTAAACCTTTTTCTTTTTTTATTTTTTGAATGTGTCATTTAAGGAGAACCGTATTAAGTCGATTATTAAGTGACATTGACGGAGTTGTCAATACATTACAAATTGCTTCGTAATGTAAAAGCACAAGCTTTTTCATGTTACAGTCCTCTCGTGGATAAGACTCGTATCGCAGATGAATGGTGAGTATGCACGAACGGCACCGAGTTTCTCTTTTCCCTCTTCGATTCGCTTCCTTTTATAAAAGACAGCTAAACTTACCCGGAAGATTTATTGAAAGGATGAATACGGACGATTAACCAGTGAATTCCCTGCATTTCCGTACAGCCCTTTTTCTTCGTATTTCGCGTCGCTGTGGCGAACCGATCGATTTTGACACTTGCGATTCGCAACACATTTTTTTCTTCTCGCAACTTTTTCGTGAATTGCAGCGAACAAGTAATTTTTTTGTGTCGCAAGTCGCGTACGTAACTTTCAACTTTAAAATGTTAATTTTTTTTCGTCATGGAGAATATATTGGACGCATAATTTTTCTCTCGAATCTGCAAAATTCGCTCATGACTGACATTACTTACTGTTCAGAATATTAACAAATTTTGTAACATTTTAAATAATATTTGCGTTGGTAGTTGCATGTTTTTGTGTACGCATCGCCGTTTTCCGGCGGTTATTTCTCTCGTAAAATTATAAAATAAATGTTTTACTGGCATTTATTTTATGTGCAAAAGGTGAAACGAGATAAATAGACAAAAATTAATTTTAAGTAGTTCGCTTTTACAAAATTTTGCAACCACTCTGTAATGCGCGGACAACAAATTAATGAAATAAAAAACTATATATATCTCCACTCTGTTCTATCTGAACTCTGTTTGAATTAAAGCAAATTTGTTTGTAAAATAGAAATATGGATAGAATAAATATTAAATATTGCTTACAAGATAAACAGATTATTTACATATAGAAGCATAAAAATAGAAGCAAATATGTTCCTATATAAACAATTTTCTTTGTCTTGTCAACAATATTTAATATACATTCACGTTATCGCAAATAATTTATAAGCTCTTTATTTTATAAGCTCTTTGTGTCGTTAATTAATCAGCGAAACCGATTTATTCGAGCATCATTTAGACGTCGGCGGTGTCCTTTGTCAACCAGATGCGCTGAAGAGTAAAGAACGTCCGCCCCGGAACGATTTATCGTGATAAGCTTTTCAACAAGATTTCCTACCCTTATTTATCCATCAAATTAACGGACGTTGATTAGGAAGAGGGGGTAGCACATTGTGATTTAGGAAACCCCATTGATAATTAATCACCGTCTGCACCATTTATTACGTAAGGAGGTTTTATAGGACGGTATTACTTCGCATTTACTTACTTTTTCATATAGAGTGTCTTACAATTAGTAGAGCTAGAAACTTAACATTTTTTTAGTATGAATCTTTTGTTAAATTTCACTTCAGTAAATACAAAAAAATTATTCATTGCAAGTATTTCATTTTTAATATTTTTAATTAAGTATCTTTGTAATTAGAGTTCTCTCAAAAAATTGTTTGTTAAAGCAAACTTTGCCTGAAAAATTAAATGCAGAATAAGATCTTGCTTATATTTGCCAACGAATTTCATGTTTTTTCGGCGTAAACAAATGTCGTGACTTGCGAGGAAGGTTAGCCAGCAGTGTTTCGTATTTAATTAGTTTTGTAATAAAAAATCTCATTTGTTGAGATAATATTGTCGTAGAAAGAGAATGAATCCAATCGCGAGGCAGAGAGCTCGTAGTGAGAGATAGTTTGAATTAGAATTCAAAGGGTTGATGTAAATTATCTCCTCTTTTCCTCTCCTCCCATTGTTACTGACGAATTATATCTGCGAATTCTCTTTATCGGTGTATCCGCTTTCGCGTTTTCGCTGTCTAAATGTCTTATGTGTTGCACGGCGCGCGTGTTCGCGGTCGTCTCGGGGGTATTCAAAACGAGAAATCCAATTTCAATGAAAAGACGGAACAAGAGGTTACGACGTGAGACAAATATCGCGTTTCAGGACGTTACACTATTGTGTCCACGATTATGTACACGTTGTCCACATAGTTCTTGGAGTCTGTCGACTTATATACTCGAAGAGAAATTATCCGATGTATCGCGAAAACGAGAGAACCATTACCGAAATTCTCCGCTTGTCTTCTCGCATACGGATATTAATACTCATTCAATCGGATTACAAGGATTCAAAGGATTTCGAACATTTTAGAAGAGTTTAAGTAATTTTCATAACGAAACTAAAACAGCCGTATGATTAACAAAACAAAATAAAATCAGTATAAAAGTGTGCTACAAATTTTTCATTTAGTTTTTGAAACATATTAATTATTTTTAAAGGGCAGTAATATTTTAAGGTAATATTATGCTAATAATCTTTTAATTGTGAGATAGTTTTTAATCATGCACGTGCTATTAAGCAAAATGAAGTAAAGTATTAGTAATTTACACTGGTCATCCATATTTAAGAGCAAATGTAGCTGCTCAGCTGCAAATGCTTGTGTATCGTACACATTAATTAACAACGATCGTACTAAATACACAGAATCCATTGCTGCAATCCCTATCCGTGGGGATCGTGCCAGAAATTTGGCAGTTATTTCACGATAAAATCTCGTATTTCTACATCGCGTATAAAGAGAAAATATTACACTGATCACATGTAACGTATAAAGCAATATTAAATTATTTTCTACGAAATTAATTGCTTCTTCATTTTTTTTAAATAAATGTAATATTTTAAGCAGAAATTAAATTATTCATTTTCACTTTAATGAAAATTGATTAAACGTTTCGCAATATCGTCCTATTAATATAAAGTATTATTTAAAATTATTATCATTAATGTAATAATTGATCATTAAACGTGTAATCAAAATGCATCGAGGCCATTTGTTCAGGTAAATTTTGAAATTGATATTTCCATAATCTATATATAAACATCTAATTTCCGGATAATTTGAAATTTTTACCGAAATAATATAAATTTATCAAATAATGTGTATAATAAATAATATACAAATATAATGATTACTGATTAGCGATACGATTAGCTCATCTATTTCATTCAAGACATCTAGATATTTATTGACTAGAAAATAAGCCAAAATTTATATCTTTTATTATTTAAAACAAATCATTTAATAAAATAGATAGTTAAATTCTGACATTGCTGTACAATTGTACGTCTAATATCTATACCTCTGAGGATAAAAAATGTGGGGCATGTGCGTAAATATATCGAATGTACAACTAATTTTTATGTCACAAAAATTTTTGTAAATTTAGCTATTTTATAAAATAAAGCTTTTCTATTTATATGGAACAAAATTTATATATATATAAAACGATATTTTATAACAAGGATACATTTAGAGCTTGCACAAATATTATCATATTAATTTTTTTTAGAAAAACTTAGCATTTTTATAAAGCATCTCCTTTTTAATATTTATGTAAGTCAATGTTTTATTAAAAGAGTAAATTTTTTGTAAAAAAGTAAACTTTTGAAAAACTTGAATTTACAATCTACGACATATATATACGACATTGCCGGAACACTGATAAAAATGTTTTTACTGGTTGAAAAGCGAGAAAGAAAAAGGAGCGCAAACAGAGCAGATGAAATCGCTGAGTTTCAGTATTTCAAGATCCAAACGTGCTCTGAATGCAATAATTATTGTCGGAGACATTGTAGCAACGAGTGTAGCCTAGAGGTAACTTCTAGAGAAGTTTGATTTGAGAAACGGCTCTTAGATGGTTTAGATGGCTTGATGTTTTTATGCGAAAGTAACTTAACTGTAAGAGGGAAAGGACAATCTCCGAAAAGTATAAGGGAAAGATATCAACCCGCGCGTGTCTAGTATGGCTCATACTTGATAAACTTTTCTATGCTCGATATCTGATTCAGATTTACGAGAAGCAGGAAATGATATTCTTAGCAGTTTCGGTTTTGGTAACGTCAAATCGATACAAGGTACAGCAATGCCGACAAATATTCGATAAAAGCAAACACATGCAGGTAAAATTTGTTTTTTTAGATAACTATTTGAGAAAATCGCAATATATCCAAGATATTGATTAGAATTGAAATTTAGCTGTTAACAGTGGAATTGTAATTTAATATATTTTCTACTCTGCTTTAATCGCATTCATGATATCAGGTGTATGAAAAAAGTAATATTTTAATACGTAAAAATTAGTATTTTAATATATTCTCCTTTCCAAAATAAATTATATTGTATGTTTGTACGAATATTTATTATTTATTTGAGATTGTATAATAATTTCAATTTTTAATTTATTTAAAAATACTTCAATAAATGTATGAAATAATAATATAAAAAAATAATATGAAATATAATAATATAATAATATAATATAAAATTACATTTTTTTACAATATTATTAAAACGTTTTTATCATTTTATTGTATCGAATGATTAGGAATATGCAAAGCAATCTTGAACGAAAGTAGTTCATATAATACAATGGAGGTATAAACTCACCGATTTTGACGACCGAGGGTAGAGCGTGGAGCACTAAAGGCAGCTGGAGCAGCTGAAGAACGAAGACAGTGGCTACCAGGCAGCCCAGATTCATAGCTCATCTCGGAAGCCCACCCCCGCGGCCTTTTTCGATGGCCCTTCACACAAACACTACCGCACGCGAACTATGTTTGTGACGGATAAAACCCAACACTTTTACGCATTTATCTAAAAGACAGAAAAATATAAATATATCAATATTAAATCAATCAATGAAAAAATTCTGGTTTTGGCCCATATAATAATTAATTAAAGATTAATTGCAATTAAAACTAATTCTAATAAATATCAGAATTCAAACGCTTATCATTTTATCATCGAATAACTTTGAAGAATGGTGAAATTTGAATGGTATGCAAATATAAGGCTACGAATATACCAGTCGCTTTTGTCTATTGCTACTCGAAATTAATTCCGACATAATAATTAAAACTTTTCATTAAAAACGTATCAGCTAGAGAGGCAGAACGTCACATTTGACTTCTACCGCTGAACACAAGATTCACAAGTGCCGCTTTGATATTTTATCTGACGAGATTCTACACTTTTCAATTGAAGAACAAAGCTTTTCGCAAGCAGCTAAAAATCTTGTGTAAACGCCTGAAATCCGAGTGGCTACTACCATCCGTTTTTACTGCTTCGATATGCTTGTGAAAAATTTGCATGTTGTATGCGAATCTTTGATGTATGATTTTTCTTCGCGAAAAATTTTATATTCAATTTAAAGAAAAATTTGTTATTTTAAAAATGAGTTTTAAAACATCAAATTTTTTTCTACAAAGTTCTCAATGCAATTTTATCTATGCTTAGTAATGCAAATAATAAATGTAAGTATTTAATATGTTTAGATATTTATTAACTATAAATTTGATACTGCACAACACATGAATGAAATACTTTAAAATTCCGTAATGAAGGAAAACTGAGAAAAGAAATACATTTTGAATATTTTGCGAATCTAATTTTTACTGAGAGCTTTCTATGTTTAATTAGATATATCACATGATAAGACGTATTATTGTAATAAAAGGGCAAAGTCAATCTAAGATACATTATATTATCAAATTGTAATTTAAATTGTATTTTACATTGTAATGTAAATTATAATTTAAATTGTATTTTAAATTTTAATTTAAATACAATGTAAATTACAATTTAAATTGATAAAAAATTTAAAGTGATAAAAATTTATCAAAGCGTTCACTTTCATGATGCAACAGCAGTCATTTAATTACTTATATAATTTAGAGTTCGTTTAGAACAGGGCTACAATTTATCAATTCTTGTAAATCCTCCCTCTCACACATACACACACACACACACACACACACACACACACACACTCTCTCTCTCTCTCTCTCTCTCTCTCTCTCATAATACATTTTTCATGTTTCGTGAACAAACGCACATTATTCAGCAAACTTTGCATTTTGTTCCTATTTGCACCGCGCTTCTTGCTCGTCGTCGCTGTCTCATAAATCGATAAAATTACGAAATAACCGCTATGTTTTGTCGCTGATGGCACGCAAGAATGTTGGCAGGAACTTGCCGGCATTATTTGATTTTAATTCAATGTCACGATTTCTTCGCGAAACGGGGAACAGTTCGCGAAACTTGCCACATGCGGCTTCCTCCGGTAGTGGTAGTTTCAAAAGAAACAATAGCACACCGACGTTCAATTCGCGATTCGCGATGTCGCGCATTCGCTACCGTCTAGCGAATCGCACAGACTAGCTGGCGACTTTATCCATGTGGATTCCTCGCGTATGTATGTGTATATTCCCATGCCGCGATTCCTTCACTCGACTTTATTACGAGAGAAGGGGGATGTGCGTTTCTTACTTCCACTTTTCCGGCGCGAAGTTTCGACCTGAGTAATTGCGACTCTTTTATTCGAGGCGCGGCCCGCTTTACAATGTCGTGAAAGAAAGAACGGCGAGTGATAATCCCCTGAAAAATATAGCTATACATTGCGATAGATAATCCTTTCAGCAAGCAGTCGGTGAATACAAAGTTTATACAATTTTCTAAATATAAGAAATTTAAAATACTACATTAAAAAAATTAAAATATACAAGTTTTAATTTTTATTTTTTATTCTTTTTCTCAAATTTTCCCCTTGCTTTTTATATTTGCATTTCATCATGTTTTCTTTAAAAAAATATAACATATTCAAAGTTTCTATGGAGTTGCAAAAGAATTTCCTTCGCGTCAAGATGGACACAGACGCGCGTGAGAATGTAAGGAATCCAACGTGAGGGATTATCGTAATTAAAGCGCCGAGAAAATTAATTCACCTTCCCGCCCGTACTGGTAAATCGCAACATACTGGTAATTTGTAATCTCACAATTAGTACGTCAGAGGTGAAAGGCCGCGAACATCTGGAGGGAAGATATATCCGGTCCTCCTTCGTCGGTCTTCCCGAGGGGCATCTTTGAGGAGAAAATGAGCGGGCTGTTATACCAAATTCTTCCGATTCATTGTACGTCGCGCCCAGGTTGCCTTAATCGCGCCGCTTTATTCAACGATAATTCGCCGACACCATAGAAACCGCCTTAATGATACAGAGAGAAAGAGAGAGAGAGAGAGAAAGAGGAGGAAGAAGCGGCGAATGTGTTCGCCCGCATGCGCACAAGAAGATGAAGCTGAAGGTGCCGAAAGGAGCGAAGGGTTGGCGGGATCGGGAATAACAACATAGTCGGTAAAAAACAAGAGAGGGAGCAGAGTGCTTTAAATATATTTTTTCCTTTTTCTCTCCCCTTTCCTCCCACCCCCTTTCCACCGACCCGCATCTGGCCGCCCGCCACCTTTTGTGATCTACGATCGTCCTAAAACATCTTCGCAATATCACGTCGTGCCGACTCTCCGGCAGGAAAATAGGGGGAAAGCGGTTCGCGCGCGCTAGTGAATCTTCCGGAATTCTCGTTAACACGGTCATTTCCCCTCGTCTGTAATACGCGGTTTGTACGGAAGCGCGCAGAAATGCTTGCTAAGCGCTAAAGAAAGGGATGTACATTATCCTCTTTTCTTTTTTTTCACAGACTTTTCCTCCGCTCGTACGTATACTATTTTAAAGAGTATTCAGATCGACCGATTCCCGATCTCGCCGATAGACGATCTATCATCGACGCCTTTCCGCGGAAAATCCCTTTCTGAAATATTTCGCTTTCTGTCAGCAGAATGTAGTTTCTCGCTCATGCGGGCGAATTTTATAGAAGATTCGTGACCGGATGACTACGTCAGCTGATGCAGCTACTTCATCAATTTTTAGAAAATCGTCCTGCCTTTAAAATGAAATCGACAAATTTCCTAAAAGAGGGGAAAAGAAAGAAAGACTATCTTCAACTTGATCGAAGAAGCGACGCGCGAAAGAATAACATTCTGCACGAAAACTTAATCATATGTAATGTTCATATGCTGTTTCAGTGCGACACGATCTCGTTCGCGATACGATGGAAACTCGATAAAACGCGCCCTTTTATCCCTTTCTTCTCCGTTCCTCCGCGTTTTCAGGAAACCTATCTGCGCTCTATCTTCGATTTATCGACCCTTGATGTTCTAGATATCGATGCCGCAGATTCCGGCGCGATCATTTTGCGGGGCGCAATGCAATAAAATTTAATCGTCCATATCGAGAGCGAGTGTGCAAAGCTGGCGTGCGGAAGCACACTCCACTTTAATCCACTAGCTCGTACGAACGCTGTGCAAAATAGATCGCCGTTTACTTAACGGGGAATGGAGTTAACAACAATCAATATTTATTGCGCGTATAGATGTTAAGAATCCTCTTAACATGGTTCGCGAACTATTCTAGAGTTGCGCGACATTCGCAACAAGACAGTATTCGTAAAAATATTGTATTGATATTGAGAACTTTGTATTAATATTGAGAATTTATTTATTAACATAAATCTTGATCGAATCTTGAGTGATCTTTATAATAAAAATCTCGTCTTGTACTGTTTTGTTTTATTAATAATTTTTATGTAATATTGACAATAATATTTAACATAATATTTGTATAATTTTAATTGTAATCATCGTGAGTTTTATAACAGCGTTGATATTAATATATAAATTGCTATTACTCTTTTCTTTATTGTTTATTTCCACACTTGTGTACATGAAATAAAATAAAAGCGGTCTAAATAAGAAATGTATCTAAGAATATAAAACACGCTGTCTTAAGTTGATTCAGTCAAAATATTAAAAACACTAATTAAAACATAACATTTCAGATACACTAATCTTATTTAAGAAAATATTGCATGTATGAAATATGTTATAATATTATTTATAAATTATATATATATATATATATATATATATATATATATATAGAGAGAGAGAGAGAGAGAGAGAGAGATATGTTCTTAAAATCTTTAAATAATATTAGATGTTTTAAATATATTTTTATTAAATATATATTTTAAATAAATAAAAATCATAGTGAATTAACATACATTAATTTTAATATCTTGTAGTTATGAGAATTAAAAGAACGTAAATAATTTGTAAACATTGATTTTTATATAAATGAAGATGATTACTATAATCGCAATATATATAATATCAATGATATATATAATATATATTAATCGCTCCTTTAATAAATTGACTGTCAAGAAAATATTCGGAACTACATTGATGTTCTAATAGCGTGTTTAATTAAAATGTGAAATAATTTGTGTACTAACTAAATTAAAACACAAATCACTCTTGGGATAGGAAAATCGAGGTGGAAATGAACATATTATTTCACATTGTCGATATAATGTGCGATATCTAACAACTGAAAGTTGCGAAAAAAGTATCGATATATTTTATTTTAGTTTTTATCTGCATATCCCAAATGCGGAGCAGCTAAGCGATGCTCCCTCGAGTGTACCTTTCTGGGGGAATTAGAGATTAGATAACGCGATAAGGGTACGAAAAGAAAATCCAATAAGACGTGAGATGTTGCAAATCGACGAAATCTAAGTTTTCTATTGGATCACTCCATGCGAATTATTTAATTCAGATAATGCGAAACCTTAAGAAAATTAATTGCTAGATATAATTCAACAAATCTGAGTTTTCTTACTAAACCGTGAGAATAGAACGATTATGATTATTGATTATTAATCGATATTTCTGCCGTGAATGATTTATTAATACATTAAAGATT